GTTCTCTTTCAAGTCTAACATAAAACTGGAAGGAACTGGAAATGATCAAAAATACCTAAAACATAGGAGACAAAAAATCAGATGACCCTTTCATGAATTTATCTTTCTCATCAAATTATCACAGTAGTAGATAAATTTTCAGTAGGGTAAAGTCATTGCAAAACATTAAACTGTACAGAATTCTCTTTAAAAATGATAACACTAAAACTGTTTAATCAAATCTGAGCCAAGATATACAACCTGATTTCAGCTACTGCATGGTCAAGTAAATACCCTATTTAATATCAGACTTTTTTGCTGTAGTTGCCTAAAATGGCATTAGAGAAGAGTGTTTATTCTTATGAGCTGTTTTTTGACATGCTACTCCACACCTTCACTGATGAACCATAATTTACCCAAGTTGATCCCATTGAATTCAGTTAGATTACACAGAGAATAACTGCTCACTTGGAGTCCCAGACTGATTTTACTTGTATTCTGTTAGGGCCAATGCGTGAAGTAGCAGGAAAATTCAAGTTAACTTTGCCTGAGTCTGGGTTGTAGAAAAATGAGAAAACCCAAATTCAATAAGGATTTTGGGTTGTAGTCAATATATTATAACACTATAGATTCATCAAGGGAGATGTCAAACAACACTGTTACCCTCAAAAAGTTTCTTTTTAGTTTGTCATTGTCAGATAAATGTTTAGCTAAAGTGTTATTCTTAGGTAGCATTTCCTCGGCTTAAAATGGAAAAGGTTACTAGAAGCAATAATGTTTGTAGAGTCAGAATTAACTTTAAATATACTCAATATAAACAGTTAAAAAATTAGAAGAAAACTTTTAAAAGGTGATGTCTAGTGATTAGGGACTTGATTCTTCTCTCATATATACAGATTTTAACTCACTGTCATACAGTTCACCTACTGGAGTTACTTACCCCTGATATACACTGGTGAAAATGAGAGAACAATATGGAGAGAATATCTGAAGAGTATGGTTTCATTGTTGCTTTAATGTGTCATGCCACTGGTCAGTAGTATAAATAGACCATGTGAAAATACACCTATTAATCATACAAATGGCTGTCAGTCTAGGTTTTCAATGTGATGGTTAGTATCCATAGCATATTCAGTTTGCTAGAGACAGGTCAAACTTGCGCCTATTCATTATGAGCAAGGTACATACTTCCATCAGCAGAGGCTGAGATTTTTAGTTTAGTTAATTAATTTAGACTATTGTTTTCCTGTAATCTGAATAAGAGGTAGAGCAATAGCTGTTTTATTGCACTAGATATGTGAGCCCTAGTACAGGAACAGGGAACAGGACAAATGAAAAGAAAACTAAGGGCAATTACATGGAGTTACACAGCAATAGCACTTTTGAATGTGGACCTTCACTGCAATGGAGTTGCAGGTGCAACATCATTGAAGTAAAGGTGAACTTGAAAAATGTGTGATTAGGATAAACGTACATTTTGTGAATTAAAAAGAGAAGCCTTAAGATTATGCCATGCAAGGTGTTTTGAGAATGTTGATTTCATTCCCCAGTTATTGACAGACTCTTTTCAGACACAGCATTTTACACCAAAACTGAAAATACAAAAGTTTAAGAAAAAAACAGAATTAATATTATTTTTATAATTATGGGGTACCAAAGAATCCCCCCAATCAAGGAGTAGCACTCTCTATTAGACAATCAGTACACCTAAGAGCTCAAATCCAGATGACATAGGATTCAATATGAGTATGAAACTGAGAAAAAATGGTGGGGAAGAATTGGAGGATGACATTATAAACTGAAAAGACTTTAGCACAAAGCTTTATATAATTAGTTTTGATTAATGGAAAGCCCCCAAAAAATCCTGTTCTGGAAAATTAATATTGTGGCAGTAAAAGTGCTTGCTTTCTCTCTCTTTCTTCCTCATAGACTTGGAGCTGGAAAAAGGTTTCCTATGTTTTATGCCACCTAGTCTCATTTTGGGAAGAGCATAGGTAGGAGGCTGTCAGACACTATTCTTTCAAAGTACTCATGCAAGCCAGTTCATAAATTGGCTGTGCTTCTGGCTTAAAATGGAAGTTAAAAGCGTTAAAAAGCTCAAAACATTTTTTTTCTGAATTCAGAAATGACAGTCTTTTGGGGGCACTTCATGAAAAGCAGGGAGATTGTTTGAAATGATGCCATGAATAAATAAGAATTTGGATATGGGATAAGTTAACACCAAAGTATTTTACAGTAGTTTTGCATATCAGTATAATTTACATCAGTATCAGAAGTAAAGAGATGATCAATTATCTTGTGGTTGCTGCTGCTGCAGGCACTGTGAGGGCTCCTCTAGATCTTACATGAATGCCATGATTAACTTGCTAATAATTCCATTAATGGCAAGGGTGCTACATGTGCAACCTGTTTAAGACACTATAAAATGGCAAACCATCTATAAAAATGTTACACATATAATGTAGGCCATTTTTATGCCTGGTTTGTATAACACCTTACATGAAACATGTAGTATGTCCACACACCGGTGCTACTTGGGCCAGATGCCTGACAGTGGAGGTGTGGAGGTTTTAACTTGCTGGTGCAGGGGGAGCCTGGGATCATGATACCAGGCTCCCAGTGCACTAGCATGTAGAAAGAGCATAAATAGGATGTGAACCCTGATCCCAAACTTGTGCTTCCTGTCATGCATATGTAGCATGACTTCTTTTTGCATGAAAATAGATTATTGCTTCCAAGGTGATCCTGCCTCACAGCACATGACATTTGGTGTGAGGGTTGGGAGTGGTTTTATAATTTCCTAGGTTATATTCTTCCTTCAGTAGAAATACATGGGCTGAACAGATTTACAGTAGAGCCTGACAAAATGTTCATTCTGAAGAGAGATGCAAGTTTGTGCACATTTTAGTAACGGGAGCACGATAATCTTCCCATTATATGAATATTGTCATTTTGAGACATTTCCACCTAATCTGCAATATTAACTCCTATTCAAAGAAGAGAAATGTTTGATCCAAGGCGAAATGAAAAACATTCCTAAATTAAAGGAAATGGACATAAGTGCTGGGGATAAATCAGTTGCTCCTTGGTATTGGTTGGTTGACAAAATGTTGAGTATTCTGACAACTTTTAAGCATTTATTTCTTGTTAATATCTTTAAACAGTTTTTTCTAATGCTAGTAAATCTGTTTCCTACACCATTAAACACATTTTATTCTGCTGCTTCTGAGAACAGGTTGTTACATTGTTCGCATGTGATATATTTCAACATGGAGAGCCATTGAAAAGATTTAGAATTAAGGATTACCATTGTTTTATAGTACTACCAGACAAAGTTACTTATTTTCCCTCTCCTCCCTGTCATATATGAATAAGGACCTAAAATGAAGATAATTCTTTAACACACACTTAGCACTCGGGACCTGTCAAAAGCCACTGGATTGCCACATGAGAAGGAATATATATATATATAGCTGTTAATTTGGCTGGCTTTTGAATTCCTGCCAATTGGAAAGCAAATTGAGGTTAGGTGATCTTGTTGCAGGGTGAGAGTTTTGCAGCTGCAAGGGTGGACAGGTTTTGGAGGAATAAAATATTAATGACAACTATTCTAATGCTCATGGTGAAACAAAATTTCAACATTTCTGATGATGAGGACTAGAACATGGAGGTGCAGAACAGGATAATAAAATAGAATTAGTGGTGGGGAAAAGCTTGAATTGTTTATAAGATTTTCATTTCTTTAAGATTTTATTAGTCTTAAATCATTTCCTGGCATGCCAGGCATAATAATGCATGTACTGCTTATATGCTTTATTGATACTGTCACAATATTGGAAATATTCATTTTTTAATCATTAAAAGCAGCTGCTACCTACTACTAACTGAAATTTCTTCTTGTCTAAATCAAAGTATTCCCTGTGAGCCAGTTTTACACATTGACAAACTTTTAATTTTGAATATTTTCCACTTAAATTTCATTTTTAGCATTGTGTCCTTGATTTTTTTTCACTGAAACAGCTTTTTCTGTTTCCAACTAGACGGTTTCAAATCAGATCTTCCAGAGTTTGGTGAAACTTCCAAAAACCAGTGTTTCAATTTCCTACTGAAAAAGAGCAATACCTAAAATTTGGTTTCTGATTTTTCAAAATTACTGTGCACCTCTTTAACATATAACATTACAAATTAAATTTTTAGCATGAATAGGATATTGTATATAGGAGTCTAGGTAGGCTTGGACTTTTATTTAGCTGAATTGCCTGTGTGCTTACCTGGGAAGTCAAGGAAACACAGGTTTTCATTTCCCCTTCATTTTAACCTTGACACCAATTTACTAATTGACATCCCATGGGTTTAATTAGATATGTGATGGCCTGCAAACTGTTGTGTAATTTTTGCACTGGTCACAGCAAACAGGGCAAATTATATCCATTAATTAAAGACAGAACTGCACTCATTTTAAACTAAAAAAGACACAAAACTCCTTCAGTGAATTCAAGAAAGAACTTACTGAGAAATAATTATTATTGCCAACAGTGGTTCCAGTATTTTTTCAGGAAGTACATAGACTATGAAAATGTTCATAAATAAAGTAATTATTACTGAAACTATATAGTAATTAATTCTTCTAGTAGAATGAGAACATCTCCTGGAGCTTTTTCCATTGACATGCCATTTCCATCCTTTTGCCTTATACCTATTTGACACATCATTTCCTGGTTTCAAAGCCCCAAGATGCCCCTTGACTTCTGTTGCTTTAGATTTGCTGTTAGTGCCAAGCAGATGTCTCTCTTATAATAAACTTGCTACTTACCTTGCTCCTGTTTTGTTTAGCAGGAGTTGATTTGTATGGTAATTAGCAACATTTCATAGTGCTGTTTGTTAACATTTGCTGTTTAAAAAGACTTCATTTCATATGCATAAGAGAATCAGGTTCAGATTAAAGTGGTTTCCCAACATGCTTTTTTATTGGGCCTCTCTCCATTGGGAAATTATGCAAATTCTTATATTTCTTTTCACAGATCCAAATAACTATTATCACAGAAGAAATGAAATGACAACCACAGATAATCTTGACTTTAAACACCATAACTACAAAGAAATGAGACAGGTAGGCCACAGAGAACTCATGTTCAATGCCAGTACGAGGATGTGTGTGTCAGGGTGGGGGAGGGCAGGGGGATGTTCCAGAGTTGGGCTCTTATATTAAATAGGTGATCTCTTTCTTCCCCCCTTTTGACATTTTTAATAGTACGTTTAGTAAGGGGACGACCCAAGAAAAAGTGACTTTCTGCACTGTTGTGCACTCTTTTCCCATACATGTTAATTGACTTTTTCAGCAACATCTCTAATGTGTTTTATTGTGAGATTGACAAAAGAAGGACACAGACAGAAATTATGTTTGTCTTGCATTTGGACCCCTGAAAGCACTTTACAGCTGTGCTGTGACACACATGCATAGCTACAGAATGCTTTTAAAGTGGCTGATCATGTGACAATTTAACCTTCATGAAATGTGGAATCAAGTGAATGTGCCCCACATTGGAGTGCCTTAAGAAATTTGTGTTTCCTAGGGTTAATCTGTTGCATGATCGGGGCTGGCCTGATGTAGCCCAGCCCTGCCTCCAGGGCTGTAGTCGGGAAGGAAGCAGGGATGGGGGGGGGGAGTGAGCTCTCCAATGGTTTGCCCAACCTGAGCTAGAGGGGATGGGTAGATTGCATGCCACCTCATAGCTCCGTCCCTCCAGTCACCCCCCATCCAGCTCAGGCTGGGCAAACCCCAGCCAGCAGCTCAAGCCCCTCCCCCATCCTCCCTCTCTTCCTTCAGACAGCCACAGAACTAGGAGGTGGGATAGGGGGCAGGGCTGGGGGAGAAGACTGGCTCCTCAGCTACCAGCAGGTTCCTCAGGCTCCTGCAGGCAGGCTCCCTTCCCCCAACCCCATCAGGTTAAGAGCTTTAACTCCTTCTACTTTACGTAAAGCACCATGAGTTAGAGGGGCAGCTTGCATCTCTGTCAGTGCCCTAGAATGACTTTTCCAGCAACCTGTAATGTGTTTTATTGTGAGATTGACAGAAGAAATGTCAATCAGCAAGCCTTTGTATTTTTTACTGCTTATCCATGACGATAAATACATTTTGGACCTCAAACAACAGGTTTCTTATTTAAGGCTAACTTATTTCAAAAAGGTCTGTCATGCTTCTTAACAATACACTTTTGGGCTGCGGGGGCTGAACAAAAGCCCTGTGGGGGTGCATCCACACATGCAGGCAGATGTGCTTGCAGCAGCTCAAATAGGAGTGGCACAAATTTAAGCTGGGGATTTTTGCTTCTGTGTACATGCCCATTCATGCACTTTGGTGTGGGACAAATTGTGTCACTTGGGGCAAAATAACCCTGCCCAGCTCCTCCCAGATCTGCAGCCAGTGGGAGTAGAGCCTGGGGCCAGCACCTGTGCTGGCTCCAGGAGTATAAAAACCTGGCCTAGCAAGCAGCTCAGGATCTCCTTGCTCTCAGGAGCTTCTGGGGCCCAGCCAATTGGTATCTGGGGACACTACCCCTTGTGCCAGATGGACTGGTGATGCAGCCCTAACTGAGAGTTCCCTGCACCCCCTATCTACTGGAGCAGTTTGGCAGTGGGGGTTGCTGCCTGGCTATGACCTGCTGCCACCTGCGACAGCATGTGGCCTCAAGGCTGCATGCCTGCCAGATCTGAATAGAGACTGCACGGCCACAGTAGAAGCATCCACACCTCTGGGCCAGCTGCCAGTGGGCTGTGGCTGCAGAATTGGCCTTTGTGTGGCACTGCTGCCGTGTGTGCTGCTGCTCTGCCATTTGGGCAGCTATTGCCCAGAAGATGTTCTCAGTGTTGTGACCTGCTTTGAACTTTTAAAGTACGTCTTCCTGGCCCCAAGTGGCCATGAGGTCAGTTACCTCCAGCTGGGTCCTGGGTGCCAGCTTTGAGCAGGCTTCTCTGCCTGGGTCTTGCCGCTTGCCTCATTAGCAGGAATTCTGGTGTTCTCTGTTT